CGTGTGTGTGTGCGTCGCGCGCGCGCGCGTGTGTGTGTGTGTGTGTGTGTGTGCGCGTGTGTGTGCATGTCTGTACCTTCTCCAGCCCAGTGAAGGTCCCCGGTGCCAGGGTAGTGAGCTGGTTATGAGCCAGGTGAAGGTACCGCATGTTGCTCAGCCCTGCGAAGGCCTGTGCCTCGATGCGTTCCAGTCGGTTGTTGTCCAGCTTCAGAACCTCCAGACTCCAGAGGCCCTGGAACGTCCCGGCCAGGATCTCAGCTATGTTGTTGTAGGAAATGTCCAGTTGCTGGAAAATAAATAAACAAATAAACAAAACATGATACACAACAAACGTCCTGTCCTGTGTGTTTGTGTATGTATATTTAAGTAAAGGGGTGTGCATGTGTATGTTTGTGTGTGTTCCCGGGATCTCAGCTATGTTGCTACAGGAAGAAAGAAAGGACTGTGGTTTTATTCTTGTGTTTGGCATGACCAGCCCAATCAGGGATATGTACATACAAGAAGGATTAACATCTGGGCAAATAAACCTCCTTATAAATGACACATCAGCTTGGAACATGGACAAAGGTCATTCCACATACACACACTTCAGAATCTGTAAAACTAGCACCATGTGACCATGGGGGACAGTGTAACTAGTTACCGGCCTGTGGCAGGCTGTAGTAGTGATCATGAGATATGTACATACAGTATAACATGTTACCTGCATGTGTGTGTGTACAAACATGCATAACTATAGTTACCTGCATGTGTCCAGCGAACACCCCTGGTCGCAGTGTCTCCAGACTGTTGTGGCTCAGCCTGAGTACCGGTGATTGTTACATGTTACCTGCATGTGGCTGGCTATAGTAACATGTATAACTACAGTGTAGTTACCTGCATGTGTCCAGCGAACACCCCCGGCCGCAGTGTCTCCAGCCTGTTGTGGCTCAGGCTCAGTATGTGGCTATAGTAGTATTAGTACATGTACATGCTATATATGTAACAGTAACTAGTTACCTGCATATGTGTGTGTACATGCATGTACGTGTACATGTATAACTTAAGTGTTACCTGCATGTGTCCAGCGAACACCCCCGCCCGCAGTGTCTCCAGCCTGTTATGGCTCAGACTCAGTACCGGCGAGTGCAGATCCACGAAGGCTCCCTCGGGAAGCTCGCTGATGTCGTTATAGTCGATGTACAGCGCCTGCAGCAGCCGTAGCGGGCGGAAAGCGGAGGGAGCGACAGTTCTGATGGTGTTGTAGGACAGGTAGAGCATCTGCAGCCGGACGTACCCCCTGCCCCGGAACCAGTCTGCCGGCACGTGCGAGATGTTGTTATGGTACAGTTTGAGAATCTCCGTCCCATTCGCGAGGGTGGCGGGGACGGGGTCGGGCCCGATGTTGATGCAGTCCATGGCATTGGCTCGGACGGGGTAAGTCTGGAGGTAGCAGGTGCAGGGAGGGGGGCAGGCCTCCCCTGAAACTGTCTGGAGATTCAGCAGCCCAGCAAGGAAACACAGCACGGCCTGGAACAGCATCGTGGTAGCAGGTGGGGACACTTCGGCCCGGGTTTGCAGCAAGTTCATGCTTCAATGTCTGCCATTTAATCTGGCACAGCTAGAGTTAGACTCTGATACTCTGGTCCTGACTTGGGCACAGGCTGATATCATGTAGACTCTGCTAGGCACAGCTAGACTCTGCTAGGCTCATGTAGACTCTGCTAGGTACAGTTAGCACTGCTAGGCGGACTCAGGCACAGCTAGACTCTGCTCTGGATCGGGCAGTCAGACTCCACAACTCCACAGTTAGACTCTGGGCTGATCCGTTGCTGGGCTGCAAAACAGAGAAGAAGTCACTGGTTACAAAGTGGCCTACTTTACAAGTCAGCTAGAAGGTGACACTGGGCAGACAAATGAGCAGGACTTTGTTGACTTTGTGTACCTAGGAATCCTGCCACAGTTTCCTGACAGGAGAGCTAGCCTCAGGAGGGGAATAGGAAGTCAGGGGCAACTCTAGCCTGGTTGTTGTGGAACAAGTTTGGGAAGACTGGGCCTGGGGAAAACTGGGCCAGCGGTGTCTGGTGTCCTGGGCTGGATCTGAAGGGTGCAGAAGAAACACAGCTGTGAGCCACATGGCGGCGGCAGGGGCCTGTCACACATACAGGGACACAGCTGAGCTGAGTGATGGAGGGAGCATTGTTATGGGGGGAGGGGCACAGGTACAGGTACAGGAACACAACTGATGGAGCATTGTTATATATGGGGGAGGGGCACAGGTACAGGGGCACAACTGATGGGGCATTGTTATATATGGGGGAGGGGCACAGGTACAGGGACACAACTGATGGGGCATAATTGTTATATATGGGGGAGGGGGTGTGCTCAGATACAGGGACACAGCTGATAGAGTCAGCATTGTTATGGGGAAGGGGGTGCATGTAGTTACAGAGATGTGTCACAGGTACAGGGACACAGCTGAGCTGAGTGATGGAGGGAGCATTGTATTATGGTTATATATGGGGGAGGGGCACAGGTACAGGAACACAGTTGACTAAGGAGATGTTATGCCAGTGGGACAAAGTTATTAAAAAAAACAATGCTTGAGGCTCCTTATATTATGCATCGGCCTGAAGGTGTCTAACATCCCAAAGGACAATCTGGTGGTTGCTGATGTATTACCTTTCACATCAACCCAAGAAAGTTGTGACAGTTTCATATCATGAAGCGGTTATATATAATAGCAATGGGGGTTGTCAACCAGTAAATGTAACTTGCAGTAATAACTTTTTTATTACTAAAAATTTTACCACAGGCTTCAATGGAGCTGGCCTGAGTGGGCCTCAAAACAACCTGGAATCCAGGCTATCCAGTCTCTCTGCCAGGCTGGTAGCAAAACTAACAGCATACAACTGTAAGGATCGCCCAAACCTACCTGGTTATAAAGTAATTCCTCCTCTCTCTAACAATGTGAGTCACACAGAGGGCATAGATAATTTATAATGAATAAATAAATAAATTTATAATGAGAATTTACCTTTAGAAATCCAGGGAAAGACTGAGGAATAATTGTGCACAGTACTCGGTGCCCCCTCCTCCTGCCTGAATATTCCCAGCCTCGATGTCAAGGAAATCGTCCAGCTTGGGTTACGTAAGCTTAAAGGGGGTGCCATAAGCCACCTTAAAAATCCAGGGAAAGACAGAGAATATTTGTGTGCAGTGCTCACAGCCCCCTCCTCCTGCCTGAATATTCCCAGCCTGAGACACGACCAGTTCTTCCACTTTATAGTTGGGGGCAATTTATTTCCTGGGTAATTCAGTGGGAGGACAATAGAGTATTATAGAGCCACTCATCAGGGCAGCCTGTTCATTAGGGAGATTGGCTGCGGGAGGGGGGCGTGGTGTCAGTGGGTCAGGAGTCTCATGACAAAGGGTCGGGCAGGGCTGGAAATACTGCTGGGTGCATGTGCACCTTATTGCACCCAAATTTGGAGCCGTGCACCCAATTTTTATTGTAGGTTTACTTATGTAAAGATGTTAAATGTAGTATACAGCATATTGTTGACATCTAAGTGTCAGAAAAATAATGAAATAATAGTTGTAGTACTTTTCTTAAGAAACGAAACATGATTAGTTTTTGCTAATTGGAATGATATAGGTTCTTATGATCATTTTTTTTGTAATTTCACACTGTTGATATTATGTGCCCTATATGTTGTGTCCTTATGTGTTGACTCTCTAACATCAGCTTTGCTGCCTTGAGAGTCAGTGTAATGTCTTGTTGCATTTTCAATAAATAAATTAGTTTTTGCTGACATTCTACTTATTTTATCTCATATGGTGCACCCAAAATATTTGTTGTGCACCCATTTTTTTTTAGGTTGGGTGCACCAGTGCACCTATTCCCAAAAGTGAATTTCGAGCCCTGGTCTGGCCTAACCAGGGAAATTTACGTCCACTCATCAGGTTTGAGTCAGCTGGGCAGACAGATTTGATTGTTCTGTTTTGGACCAGGAACTTCTGTAAGCAGGTTGTCAAGGTTAAACACTGTGACCCCTGATGTCACAAGGTTGTTCTAAAATAACTACGTCATATACAAGGTCATATTCATTCATTGTAAAACTACATTGCTGTGTTATGATACAAGGTCAGATTTAATGTGTAGATTCCTGAATTCTTTTAATTGGGTTAAACATGTTAAGTCAAATTTGCTATTAGAAATTGAACTCAAAATGGCCAAACCTGACTGTTCTTATTACTTATAATCTTAATATGTCTTCTAATGTCTTCTAGTTTTCATGAGTGATGTCCTAGGAGCTTAGCTAAACCCGAGAAAGCTGACTGTGTTTTAGCCAGGCTGTTGTGATGAGTCAGGGGGAAATATCAGTGGATTTTTTCACTGGCAGGGCTTCTTAAAACCTTCTGACCTTCAACCGGGCAGATGACCTTGGGCCTGTCTTTTCTTGTTGATTCTGCCTGACACAAGGTCAGAACAAACGCTCCATCAGCTGATAGGGCAAAGGTCACAGTCAGCTAATCAAACAGGCAGCACATGTGAGACCCACAATGCATTGTTTTCACCCAGCTGCAAAACTGTTTATTTTTTCTGGTCTTCCTTCGGAGCCAAAACAACTACAAGATACTGTAATTCACAAGTTTTTCGAGGTACTTCCATATTCGGCTTTTGCGGTCACTTCTATACTGCAAACTTATCATTACCGTGAACAAACTTTTTGCCGACTTTTTTTTTTCTGCACCTGCTGCCAGTTTTGTGGTTCATCTCCATTTTTCTTATTGCTACCATGAACATTAAGTGAATTACAGTAAATGTCTTCTTGCAAGTCCTCCTTGTCTTCAAAAATAATTCCTTGGTTTCTCAGAATCCAGAAGATGCTGAGTTAGTTTACTGTAATGAAGAGCAGACCTTAGGAGGCATGTGGGTTAATTGGCTGCCAGAATTGTGCAGATGAGATCCAGTGGTTTTGTTTCCTCTGTTGTACTTGTAATGTTTAGCTAGCTTACACACGAGTAGAATTGGAAAATAAGGCATTCAACATTATCATTCCTAATATGTTTATTCCTACCTACATGTAACTTACTGTAAGACAGTGATAAGAAAGAGGTAAGTTGTTGGTGTGACAGGTATGGCTGTTTTGACTGGTTTTGTGACATCTGCAGTGACCAGGCATGACCTGCAAACTGGCAACAGTAGGGCAGGAAAAGCCACTTTGTATCAGTTACTGTGGCGAGGCATGGCCTGGGAAATGGCAACACCAGGGGCAGGAAGAGCCACTTTGTATCAGTTTACTGTGAGGTGTGACTGTCAAACTGTATCACACTCCTCCAAGCTTTGAGGCTACCAGGCAGAGGCCAGGGGTGGAGATTTACTGTAAATAGTCAAATGTTCACGGTGGTTTTATTTTTGCAGTTTTTTTAAAATGTAACTTTAAAGCTACCCTAACCTACCCTACGACCAGTCATGCAAAACCCTGAACTTACAAACTCTGCATGATAGACGGGAAACTCTGTGCTACAAGTTCGGCAAGACCCTGTCCAAGTCCGACACTTACAAACAGTGGTTACCTCAACAAAGGGGCAAAGTCAGCGGGAGGGTTACCAGACAAAGTCACAAATACGACCCATTGCCAGCACGTACTAAACGCTACCAAAATAGCCTTCTACCGTATATTGTTAACCTGTTAAACGATGGCATTTAGTTTAGATAATTGTGGCATTTAGATTATTAATTGGTATCTTTGATAATTAATGTGTATCTTTTAAATATGCAATTGTACCTTTTTATATATGCATTGCGTCTTTTAAATATGTAATTCAACTTTTAAATATGTATTGTCACCTGTTCGCAGCTTGTAAACTTTTAGAGCGATTGTTTATGTCAACTTGTGAAATTTGTATATGTACATGAACTCGCAATTCAGCTAATAAGCTGCGATGAGTTTGTATTCGCACAATGAATAAACCATTCATACATATCACATATAGCTTAAAGACTGTGACACTTGGTTGATAATTGTGGTTAATAATTGTGACATTTGGATGGTTAATAATTGTTATAATTGGATGTTTACATGTAATAGTTGTCACATTTTGCTGGTTGATAACTGCTATATTTTGATTGGCAAAACAGACAAAAGCAACTTAGAAGACCTAGCCAACCTGGCCTTGTGATACGGATCACACACACCATATGATACATGTCAGGCTGATTAAGGTTCGTTAGTACAGGCAGGTTAGAGTTCGTTAGCACAGTCCACTGGTTTTGGTTGTTATAATTAGCATTGTCCAGGAGAGGGGTGTTGGGGAATCCTTGCTCAGCATAATTAGTACAAAGTGCGCTCAACTGGCTTGTCCCCAGTCTGATGTAAATTTGGGGTAAATTATGTGCAGGAAAAACTTGTCCGATTTGTTTTGCCTGTCGACTTTAATAACAGCTGGTATCTTATAACTGTTTTTATAAAGGCTGAGAGCCAAGAATGACATCTTAGAAAATTTAACCTTAAACTGGAACATTCAGATGATATCACTGTATACAAAGAAGCCTCAGCTCAAAAATGCAACTCAGATTCATTGGTAGAAAACGGTTCCCAATTAGCCGGTTTCGCTTAACGAGTCTCATGTCTTGGAGAAATGAAAAAGATGGCTGCATCAGACAAGTTGGAACTCTGCCATGCCACTAATGAAATGAGTGTGTGGGGAGGCCCAGACCTCGGTCAACTGTACTACGGTATACCAGACATTTTCCCTACATCCATACAAACGGGGCATGTTATACAGCAGTAATACAGACATCTGCCAGGCATTCTGGGCTAAAATAAA